ATTAACAACTAAATAACTAGCATATCTTGGTGAGAACAAGGAGAATAATCGAGACTAAATATATGTATACAATTACGTACGGCGAATAATAAAAATTAATAATTCATCTAGCTTATAACATGGTGATGCAGTGGGCTGGGGATGGGGCCCAATTAGTAGGAATTGGCATGCGCATGGTCTGGGTTTAAGCCCAGTAATTGGGATTGGAAGGTCTAAATTATATTGTCTTAGGGGTCGTTTGGAAGTTGTGATTTCAAATGGTGTATTGAGCTAATTCATGTATTTGTGAGATTAAGTCGTTTTTTTAGGTTATATTGAACTAGAATACATGCATTTACTTTTTGGAGGCCCCACCACAATCACTCAAAATTGAGGGATTGTGAATCTCTACTTTTTGTTGAGATTGTTCACAATCACTCAAATTAACTTTTATGCCTTTACAACAAAAACACAATCTAAACCTCCAAACAAAGTATTTGTCTAATACATCAATTGATTCAATACATCAAATGATAATACACTAATTGACCCAATACATCAATTTGAAGAATCACAACTACCAAACAACCCCTTAGTTTTATGCATTTTTTTACTAGTACTTTGACGAAAAGTTACTTGTATACTTTGAATATCGCGTGCAAATATAAGGGACTCTTCCATTTAAATTTAATGGGATATACAAATTTGTTTGTTTAAAGTGGAAATTCAATTTTTCATAACAAAAGTTTGAGGCGTGAATTACCAGTCTATACTATATTGATAATGTTTAGTAGTACATGCCAGGGGCGGAGCTACCTTGTGCCTCGGAGGGGCCCCGTCCCCCGAGAATTTTGGAGATCGCGTGTAAAAATATCGGGAATTTTAAAAATTCTGAAGAAATTAACTATTGTAGAATAACAATAACGTGCAATAATGAGTAACATTGTCTGGGTCTAGTCTAATGGAATGTAGCATCTGCCTGCTATTTGTAAATAGCCATTACAATGGTTTAATCCCTGGTAGCAACATTGTTTTTTTAGTTTTCCTACTTTGGTTGAGTTTTTGTTTAAAATTTAGACCGATCACTTAACTTTTGTACTTATTCAAATACTTTTTAATTTCAAAACTAGTTAATGAAATTTTGGAGCTTATAATATTTTTCTAATTTAGATAATTAAATTTTGAAGTCTAGATAATTAAATTTTGAAGCTTATGACTCACAATGTAAATATTTTCTTAATTTTTTTACGGATATTATACAATAAAGTCCGGCCCCCCGACCACTGGATCCTAGCTCCGCCCCTGGTACATGCATAAGATTATATCACAGTGGTATGTGAAGTGTACTATGGTGGTGTGAGTATATTATAATGTAGAATAGTTGTATACATGATAGTAGTAGTATACTAACCACCGTCTACCATATTTCACCATCGTCTACTACCAGTTACAATTATCACTATATACCAAGGTGGTGTATGGTGGTATATTTGGTCCTGAAAAATTTTCCCAATAACTTTGTAAATCATGATAGATCGCAACAAATTTGTTTCTTCTATGAAAAAGTTTTCTGAATTTGAGTTAAAACAAACATGGTACAGAGTAGTACCGGGTGGTAACAGATAATAACGAGTGGTAATGATGATATAAAAAAATTTCATAATATATCAAAAATGAATATCGCTTGCTTCAAGCTGTCTTTGTCCCTTTGTAGATTGCTTGACAAACATGTCGCCAGATTCTGGTGGGGTGGGACAAATGATCAGTCACGAATCCGCTGGATCTCCTGGCGTAATATGTGTCGCAGCAAACATGATGGGGGGATGGGTTTCCGCCGATTTGAACAGTTTAACCAGGCCTTACTGGCTAAAATTGGATGGTGCATCCTCAATGAACCCATCTCCCTGCTGGCGCAGATATATAAAGGTAAATACTTTCCGAATGGGAGTTTTCTTCAAGCCACTACACGCTCTCGGCCTTCATGGGGCTGGAAAAGTGTGATGTTTGGGAGAGAATTGCTTGAGAAGGGGCTTCGGTGGCAGATTGGGAACGGAAAAACGGCGTCACTACTCTGGTAGAATCGGATTCCACAAATCCACCCTGACCTTCCGGTGGCTAACCCACAGGTGCTTCCGGTGGGGGGTGATCCTCGGGTGGAGGAGGTTCTGGATCCGAATGGGGGAGGTTGGTGTGATGCCAAGTTGGGCCAGTGGTTTGATCCCCCAACTTGCCGCCGCATTAAAGCTATTCCTCTGCCAAGACACTCTATGGAGGACAAACTTATCTGGCATGGTACGGATGATGGCACGTTTACTGTTAAATCAACCTATCATCTAGCTGTTGATCTGGATAGAAGGACTGGCTTGTGGAGGTCTATGGCCAGCTGGATGGATAGAGCTAGCTAGATTAGGCTCTGGGAGGCCAACATCCCTCCCAAGTTGAAGGTGTTTGTCTGGCAGATCTTTCAACGTATCCTCCCGACTACGGAAGCACTTATAGATAAACGGGTCCCTGTTCTCCCTCGTTGCCCGGTTTGTTGGGGGGCATCGGAAACGTTGGAGCATTTGTTCCTAGACGGTCCAGTGGCCCGGGCCCTGTGGGACTACTCGGGGCTGGAGCATCTGGGGCAATGCTTGCCCCACCATACTTTTCCTCTCTTCCTCAAGAGACTGTTAAACATAATTGAGCAGCCCTCGGTTTTTATGTTGGTGGTGGCCATTCTCTGGTGGAATTGGAAGTCTCGAAATTGGGTTGTCTTTGAATGCAAGCAGTTTGGATTCCCAACTTTGATGCGCTAGTATCACCAGCAGTGTAAGAATGGGAGAGTGTGATGGGTACCAGGATGCCACAGGGTATGCCTAATTTTTTCTCCAAATTTATTTAACTGGTTATAACTCTTTCGTTTAAGGTAGGAAATCGAAAAACTTTTGCACAGAAAAATTCTACATCAACTTCCATATATTTTGGAACAAAAATTTGAGACACTATATTGCTAGTCTATACCATTTTCCTCAAATGATTTTCCATAAATTTATATAGTATAACCTATTTAAATTAATAATATAGTATAAATTAATAATTTCTCCGGTTCTGACTTGGGTCAGTGTAAAAAATGAGCAAATTTAATATAATAATAAAATAATATTTTTGTAGACCAGTCTACATAAATACATGTATGTTTAACTCTATAAATTAATAATTATAAAAATACAATTCATCTACATATTTATAATATATCTAAGGATAATCTAGAAAAATATGAATATATAGTTTTTTTGTTTATTCTTGAAGTTGAAGTCTAATAAAAGTTCATCTTAAACTTTCTTTATTACACTCAAAGTCTTCGGTGTTGTCTTCTCTAATTGCATGAAGTATTTTTGAAGAGTCGATGCGGCTGTAAGTGCTTCTTTTCTTGTGGCCGGTTCCAAAGGTGTTGAATCGTCATCTCCTTCATCCTCAATTGAACCCTCTATGACATCAACCACAATTTCTTCTAATGTTTGTGCCACGATACATTCATCATTTTCACCTGGATATTCCAACAAATGACTATTATAAATTATTAATTTATCGATTAATTAATAACTATTATAAATTAATAATTTTCACGGTTCCAACTATATTAATTTATAGATGTTATACTGTAGATCACGATGAACTCGTTTCTTATATACAAAAAATTTCAAAATTTTGGTTTAAAAATGAAGGGGGTACCAAAATGGTAACTAGCGATACAAAAAAATTCTCGAAATATAAAAAAAAATACAGATATAATTTTGTAGATCACAATGAATCGGCTCATCTCTCTAAGAAAATAAAATTCGTGTTAAAATAAAGAAGATACAAACCGATTAAAAAAAGCAGGGGGGAAAAAACATTAATTCCAACCCTTATATCTGACCCAATCAAAATTAAGAGATCGAGAAATGTATAATTAAGCGTTATACAACATACCCTAGATCTGAAATATGATTATCTAAAAAGATATAGACTCACTTAAGTGGTAGCTATACTAAATTTAAAATTTGATGTAGAGAAGTCAAAATAGAAGAAGAAAAACAAATAAATATTAGTGAGAACTCATATTCTCAAACGGGCGAATTTAGAACATAACAATCAAAGTGGGAAAATAAATCAACACATACTCTAGACTCTACTTCATGTTCATGTTGCACATGAATAAGTTAATACCCGTAAGATATAAGTCCGAATAGATGAAGACAAACAGATGAGGAAATCCCTGGTCCTGAAATTCTATATCTCCAAAAGAATAACAAGTGTTGCAATAGGAAGTATTGATTTTGTGTACAAAAACTAATTTATATTAATCAGCCCACGTGTTAGTTATTATAAATTAATTATTATGATACTTCCAATGATAGTATTTGTTGTTTTCATCGGTGCAATAAGAACAATTCATTTTTAAAAAGAACAGTCTTTAACTTTCACTAATAGAATGCTAAGTGGAACAAGGTAAATGAATTAATTCTAAAGTTATTATGTGTTATGATGGGCCAAAAAATATATAGACAAAAAAAGACATATGTTTTAAAATTAAAATAACGTTACAAAATTTTACAATCGACTCGAATGCGACATTATGTATTAGCTAATGATCAAAATACTTCATTTCCCCCCTTACTTATCAAACGAGACATTTTGTTGGAGTAAATTTGTTTTGAGGAGAGGCACTATGGACAACAAAATGGATGATGAGAAAAAAAATCCCCATGTTTTCCTTGTCTTGCGTCAAAAGCAACCCTACTTCAGAGGTTTTATTTTGTTTGTTTTCTCACGGAGTCATGGGTTCAAACTCCAAATGCAATGCCTCCAACCCAAAAATAAAAAGGGAGAGAAAGAAAGTAACCCCTCAATGGAGAGGAAACAAATAAAATGGAAAACAATTAGATACTTTACCAAATGAAAAAACACTCCACAAATGGGACAGAGTCAGTCCTTCAAATTTTTTATTTTATTTTTATTTTGATATCTGAGGTCCTACATCTCTCCCACTTGTTGCTGCTCTTGGTCTCTGCTCTGCTGGCTATGCCTATGCTCTTCTGCCTGCATCTATTACTTTTTTCAAAACTAACCCCATACCCCCCTTCTCCCATCCCACGGCCACTAGTGACCTTCCTTCCCCCTTTCTCTCCTTTTTCCCCATTCCCATTTCTTCTTCCTCTCTTGTCTATCGAAAGATCAAATCTTTTTATGAATTGGTCTCTCTAATCTTCAGCGATTTAGATCATATCCTATTGCTGGGGTTCAGTGTTCCTGGTCCTTCTGCATGAATGTATTAATGCCTGTTTGACTTGGCAATTCTCGTCTGCTTCGTTAGCTTCAAGAGTAAGGGTGCTGCTGTCTTCTTTAATCAAAGTCAGGAAGCTCCCCATCTTTCAATTCGAACAGCTGGGTCAACGTGATACAGGCAGAGCTGAGCTGGGTATTGCTTGGAATTGGCCTTCTTCAATTTGGGCTCGAGTAGTTGGTTAGGATCAGGAAAAAAGGGCGTGCTTTCCTTGGATTGGGGTGATTCATAGTTCATGCTGGTTGCATAAGATGGAGAGGTTTAAGGCTAGATTTCTATTCTTTTAGCATCGAATGCTTGAGGTAGGTCAGTGGAATAGCATGAGGAATCTTTTTAAGAAGCTTCATAGTGCGCCTAATCAGCCAGAAAATACATCAGAAGGGGGATCGACTTCATCAAGAGGAAGTAAGTTGAGTTTGAGTGAGGCAGAAAGGCTTTTGCAGCCCAAGTCCAATGACAGCAAACCCTTTTCAGGTCTTTCGAATTGGTTGAATTCGGTTACTAATAGAAAGAGTCCTAGCCCGCCATCTTCTTCGAATGCGTCTAGAGGGGGAGAGAGGATGAAGCCATCTGATTCAGTTTCCAGTAGTGGTGCTTCTGATGTTGCATCTTCTAATGCAATGGTGCGTGATTCGGGCTCTGCAGCTTCTAGAGGTCTTGGTCATGGTAATATGGATGAAGAATATCAAATACAACTGGCTTTAGAGATGAGTGCAATTGAGGATCCTGAGGCAGCTCAAATTGAAGCTGTCAAGCAGATAAGCTTGGGCTCTTCTGATCCTGAGAACACTCCTGCTGAGGTTGTTGCTTACCGTTACTGGGTAAGATGTTTTTCGGCTCTTCCATCTTCACTCCCTGTATTCTGCTCGGAAAGTTTGGTTTCATTGTTTGGACACAGTTCTTACACATTCAAATGGGATGGTTTTTGGGAAAATGCAATAGGCTGGAACGGATCATGAGATCATCCCATGTCTAGTTGCAATTCCATGGCCTCACTGGTTTTACTGCAGTGGCGTTTATGCATGAATGCTGTGGCTCTATGGCCCTGTTAGTGCAGGAAGCTTAGGGAATTCCATTGGTGCTTATGATTTTATGCTGTAAGAGCTTGGCAAGCCAGGAAACAAAAAATGATTCAGAAAAGCACTTGGTACTGTCAGAATTTTGCATATTGAGGACTCAGTTATTCTGAATCATTTCGTGATGGGAGTGAATAAAGCACACCAATCTGGTAGCGCAGAGTACATGATAATTTTGGAAGGTCATGTTCTGTTGCGCTGTATAATGCTTTCATTATTTGTTTTCAGTTGGAAAAGTGGGAGTTCCCTCAAACCATGACCTGTAGATTAGGGTATAAATAAAACAACCAAAAGGGAAATGTGGGAAATTTAATTGTAACAAACTGTAGGAATCACGCTAACTTTGACTAGACTGAATAAGGATGAGGTAGATCGTGGTATTACTGCCATTTTATAGTGCAGGCTTCTATTTTCTTTAGGTACACTATGTTGCTAGGCTTTTGGTGTCATAGCCTCATAGGTACAAATTTGTTACACAACTGAAATCCAACAACCCCGATTCAGCAGGCCATAGTTTCTTAAGTGGTTTCTTCACTACAGCAGTCAGGATATAGTTCTTAACTATCTTTTGCTTTAATGCTTATCTTGATCGTTCTGATGACACATAGCAGATCAACTGATGCCCAGACCTTTAACTCATGGTCAATTTAAAGGGATGGTGTTGTTATTGTAAGTTACTGAGCAGTTTTTGGTCCCACTGAGCAGAAGAGAAGACTGTAAATTTTAATAGGTTACTGTTGACTTGTGCATTTTGCATCTCTTTAGTACCTGCAGTCTTTCTAACTATGTAGTTGCATGAGTTCTAGAGCATGTTGATTTGAGGATACTGTAGCAGTAAGGTTTCTATATTACTAACCAGCAAAAATTATGTATTTATATTTTATAGGCAAATAGTCAATTTACCTTGTTCTTCTTTTCCACGTGTGTATTTTTTTCTAATCCAGTTCATATTATGAAATTATGCATGATTCACAGAATTACAATGCTCTAAGCTACGATGACAAGATCTTGGATGGTTTTTATGACTTGTATGGAATATTGACCGATTCCCAATCGGACAGAATGCCTTCCCTGGTTGAGTTGCAAGCAACACCAGTCACAGAAAGTATCACTTGGGAGGCAGTGCTGGTTGACAGGACTGCTGATGCAAATCTGTTGAAACTTGAACAGAAGGCTCAAGGAATTGCTGGCAAGTTGAGGTCAGAATCTGTGGCTTTTGCAGATAGCCATTTAGTCAAGAAACTAGCCTCTTTAGTTTCTAACTACATGGGGGGATCAGTTGGAGATCCTGAGAACATGTCAAGAGCATGGCGCCGTCTTAGCTACAGTTTGAAAGTAACACTAGGCAGCATGGTTTTGCCCTTAGGATCTTTAACAATTGGAATGGCTCGTCATCGCGCACTGATGTTTAAGGTACGCTATCCACATTTTTACTATGACTTTGGTATTTGATGTCTAGGTGCTATAATGTGATATGTATGTACACTGTCAACATATGTTGCACATAATGTCTAATGCTATCATGTCGCTCACGTTGTTACCACATGCATATATCTAGTTTTGTAATTTAGTGAATCAGTAGTCACTGCGATATGTACAAGATGCCATGCCTGTTGTAGAACTGGGAACTTGTTGTCCCAATGCCAGTTTGTTACCCAGATTTGCAATCTGCTTAATTTCTCCTTTTTTGCAGCCATCCTTATACTTCTATTTGAAGATCTGTTGCAGGTGAAGCATTTGATTAATTAGCTTCGTCCTTGTTAGTTACAAAATATGTTTACATTGTTATTGTAATAGTGAAGACTCAGTACTCTGAAATCTTTGAGAAAAGAACCCTCATGTTGGTTTCAACATGCAGCTTTCTTTAGTAGAACTGCTGCTTGGCTGAAAAAAAGAGTTTGCTGCCTTCTAAATATGTCCGGCCTTCTAAACATTATTTTCCACATGTTCCATTACTCACTAATTCTTCATGGCTAATTAGGTTTTAGCTGATAATGTTGGCATACCAAGTCGATTGGTGAAAGGACATCAGTTCACTGGTTCAGATGATGTGGTCATGAACTTCGTGAAACTTGATGATGGGAGGTAATTGCGTCACATTCCTCCTTCTCCTTGTACATAACTTCCAGAATAAAATGTTGGATAACTTTGTAATGGTGGGGTACAATATGGTCTTGCCGCTCTCTTAATTGTAAGATGTTTTAGAATTATCGTCATGGTGATAGATAACTTCAAATTTCAGGGAGTACATTATTGATTTGATGGCAGATCCTGGGACTCTGATTCCTTCTGATGCAGCTGGATTAAACATGGAGTATGGTGACCTTTTCTTCTCTGCTAGCCCTTTGTCTAGAGATATCGACTCATCTCATCTGGCCTCCTCTAGTAGTGGAGTGGCAAGTTCTTCAGTCTCTGGGACACTCGAAAGGAGATCCAGGGGTAGAAACGACTCTACTGCTCCAAGTACTCGAAGTGACGATGATAAAGTTGAAGCTCATGAATCTTTGAACTCTAGGTTTCAAATTAAAGGAAATGAAGGATCCAGGTCTGCCCCAGATGATATTGCCAGATCTTCTGGCAGGCATAATCTCCCTTATGCACATGCAAGATCACCTTCATGGACTGAAGGGATAAGCTCTCCTGCAGCACGTAAGAAGAAAGTGAAAGATGTCTCGAAATACATGATCGATGCTGCAAAAGAGAATCCACAGTTGGCTCAGAAACTTCATGATGTGCTGGTAGAAAGTGGTGTTAATGCACCACCTAGCTTGTTTACAGAATTTGAGCAGCTGAGCCTGCCACTAACTGAGGGTAAGTCTGTGATGGAAGATGATGAAGACCCGAAACATAGAACTGGAACCCAGCAAATGCAGGATAACAATGATCCTGGGCCTGCTCGGTTTTTGCCACCTCTGCCTCACTATAAAATGCAATCCCGAGCAACTTCGGCACAGTTAAGACTATCATCTCCGGAGACAGTATCCATGGTGGATGAGCCTAGTCCTGCTCGATATTTTCCGCTTCTGCCTCAGTACAAGGGACATTCTAATGCAACTTCTTATGCTCAGGGTCAAACCGAGCAACGTAACCATCCTTTCATTATGTCATCAGAGTGTGATGCAAGTCCTGGGAAATATGTGAAAAATGTTCCTGTTGCAGCTGCAGCAGCAGCTGCAGCAGCGGTTGTTGCATCTTCTATGATGGTTGCTTGCTGCCCTGTCTCAAACTTGGAATTGCCTGTTGCTGCTGCTGCAGCAGCTGTAGTGGCAACAACTGCTGCTGTCAGCAAGAAGCAGCACGATCATGGTGTAAGAAGTGATGGAGATACAGATAGTACTGGCTATGAGCCACGGGGAAGTGGGGATCGGGGTAGTGGGGGCCGGGGTAGTGGGGGCCAAGAACATGATGTCATTTTGGTGAATTTGGAAGGAGAGAGAATATCTGACAGATTAACAGGTAATGATAGCCCAAGGCCAGATATTAATCTTGATGATGTTGCAGAGTGTGAGATACCTTGGGAAGAAATTACCTTGGGCGAACGCATTGGACTTGGTACTGGCTCTTAATTATGCTATCGTTTCAACTTGTACCAGATGATATTTGTTATGGTTTGGTTGTTCTTATTGCTGGATAATTTTTGTTGCAGGATCATATGGGGAAGTCTACCATGGAGAGTGGCATGGAACTGTGAGTATTTACCTTATGATTCAAATTTCATTTGCTATTTTCTAGATCTGGAATGATTCAGGGAGCATACCTGCGGGGATTATATAGATTGAGCCCTTTAAAATCCATTTTGCTAAGAAGTTGAATTCTGTTGGCACACCAGACCTAATTCTTATGTGAACTTGGATTCTTAGATTTCTCAGAAGTAGCAATTTCAGACTTTTCATGTAGTTCACTCCTCCTTACATTAATTCTTGAATTGTTTGAAATAATTCAAGTGGACTGAATGTTCATCAACAGTTTCCATGATATGTTTACTGTGCTAATGAGTGTATGTCTTTATTGGTGCATCTTTATAGGAAGTTGCGGTGAAGAGGTTCCTAAATCAGGATATTTCTGGGGAATCGTTAACAGAGTTTAAGAGCGAGGTATGAGGTCACACAATTCTTACATCCGAGAATGTTTCTTTATCTCTCAGTCTCTCACGTCCACTTGGCACATAAAGGGAGGGTTTTCTTATATGCTTGTGTTTTGACACTAATGGTTATCGTAGTTGTTTGCATTTCTTGCCAACCTTAGCTGCACATTTAAGATTAAGGTCAATGATTTTGGTTTTCATGTTTCATTCATTTAGTAGAAATGCAATGTGCAGAAATTCACTTTCTTATGGGTGCGATATGACATGCCAGGTTCAAATCATGAAGCGACTTAGGCATCCCAACGTGGTTCTCTTCATGGGAGCAGTGACACGTGCTCCTAATCTTTCTATTATTACAGAGTTTCTTCCAAGGTGTGCTTAATGTGAAAGCTATACATTGAACGAAAAAGTTATTATCCTTTACTTAGGCTTGGTCGTAACTATTCTTGCCTATATAGAAGGACAACAGCTCTCCAGACGTAGACCTTTCTCACTAAATGTGCTGTTAATACATTGGTGAAGGCCCTCTTTTATCTGTTTTTCTTTTTCTTTTTGCAGAGGTAGCTTGTATAGATTACTTCACCGGCCTAACAACCAATTGGATGAGAGAAGGCGATTGAGGATGGCACTTGATACAGTATGATTCTAATATTATTGCTTGGAGTTTTTCGGCTTGAGTTCATCTGGATTTGCTTTTAGTAATGAAATAACTTGATTTTTAGGCTCGGGGAATGAATTATCTACACAACTGCACCCCAGTTGTTGTGCACCGTGATTTGAAGTCTCCAAATCTCTTGGTTGATAAAAACTGGGTTGTGAAGGTATGCGATTTTGGTCTATCGAGAATGAAACACAGCACATTTCTCTCTTCAAGGTCAGCTGCTGGAACTGTAAGCTCTTCTCTTGAACTGAACCCCTTTTCTTTTCATTTGATCTCCCCCAAGTTCAGATATTTGCAATATCAGTAGTCACTGGTCGGCACTTAAAAACTTGTTTTTTTGTTCACAATACATCAGGCCGAGTGGATGGCTCCAGAAGTGCTAAGGAACGAACCTTCAGACGAGAAGTATGCAGTTAGTTCTTGACATATCCCCTTTCTCCTATATTTTTTTGTGCTCTCATATCTTTAACCGAGATGTGACTGAACTATGCATCAGGTGTGATGTCTATAGCTATGGGGTCATACTTTGGGAGCTATGTACAATGCAACAACCATGGGGAGGAATGAACCCTATGCAGGTTGTTGGTGCTGTGGGGTTCCAACACCGACGACTTGAGATTCCAAACGATATGGATCCTGCAGTTGCAGATATTATCCTGAGATGCTGGCAGACGTGAGTAAATGCAAGACCATGTTCTTGTTCCGTGTTCAGAATCACAATTCATTTTGACATGTAACCCAGCAGTTAAAGAGAAATGATGACGTTATTATTATTTCAGTGATCCGAAATTGAGGCCGACATTTGGAGAGATCATGGCAGCTTTGAAGCCACTGCAGAAGCCTATAACTGGCAGCGCGCAAGGGCATAGGCATGCTACAAGAGCTGTTGGAGCTGAGAGCAAGGGTCAATCTCCACAAGGAGAATATCAGGCAGCAGGGTAGTTCAAACATGGTGGGAATCGCAGTTTCAAGATAGAGTTGAAGGCAGCAACACAGCTTCCGCGGTCTTGATGGGCCAAGCGAAACCAGGGCAAAGAAAGAGATCAGCAGGAGATGTGAACGTGGCTAATAGAGCGAAAGCAAAGTACAGAGTATGAGATGATTCTGAACTCTGGATTCTTCACCGTGTTATGTTGCGATCCTATTGATGTGCAGTGGAATGAATCATCATCCATTGTCAATGTTTGTATATCTTTTGTCTCTGAAACGCTCTCAATTGAAACTGCCTATATATATATTGTCATTTGTGGCGGCTGCTGGATTTTGTTTTCGGTTTTTGGGTTTCCTGTGGTCATCAAGATGACAGCAGAGTGAGTTTTGGTAGGTTGAAGCAGCAGGCAATGGGATAAATGTAAATCGTTTTGCACAGGTTCTCAGTTACAATAATGAATACCAGATAAGCAGCTCACAGATCCTCTTCTTCTTCTTCTTTCTCTTCTTTGGTTAGATTACTAGATTGTGAACAAATAATGTGTTGTTTGTTGTACTTTATGGTCACTTATTGACTACTGTAAACGTTCGAATTGAGCAGGGGAGAAAAAGGAAAGAAACAGGATAAGGTGGGGACACGAAATCCAGTCTATGCCATAGATAAGAATAGTTAGATCATGCATATATATTCACAAGAAAGAGATGGTTAGTTTGGGTGGAGGAAAGCAGCAGCTGTAGCAGAAGAAAAAGGATGACTTCTTCCATATTTGGAGCGCACCCATTTCTAGGCCAATCCTTCACCGCAACAAGAACCACTACTGCAACTACAGTTACAACACGTAGCTTCAACATCACCAGCAACAGTTATTCTTCGTATCCTCCATTGTCATCTCAGCAAACTCCCCCTTCTTCTGATTCCAATGGTAGCCCACTGCCAGCTGCTGGTAACAATGACAGCAAAAAGCCTGCAGCGACAAAGACAGCAGATAGCACTGACTGGATAGCTTCAAGCTTGACCCGGCGGTTCGGACTTGGAGCAGGTCTGGCCTGGGTCGGGTTCCTAGCAGCTGGTGTCATCTCGGAGCAGGTCAAAACCCGCCTCGAGGTCTCCCAACAGCTAGCCAATACCAGGTCCTCAACCCAACTCCACCTTCAAAGTTTCATACTTTTTGCTGATGCATAGTGAACTCAGCTAGCTGCTTACAGACCTTCCTTTTTCCTTATGGTTTCAGGGAAGTGGAGAAGGAGGAAGAAGTGGTTTTGCCAAATGGAATTAAGTGAGTATAACTAACTGAAAACACCATGAGAACCATTGATTGAAAATATATCTCTGTTACATTATGTAATGTGGGGAAGATGAAAACAGGTACTATGAGTTGAAGGTGGGAGGAGGAGCAACTCCAAGGGCAGGGGACTTGGTGGTGATTGACCTTAAAGGGAGGGTAGTTGGGGGAAAGGAAGTGTCTTTTGTGGACACATTTGAGAGGAAGAAGCCACTTGCTCTAGTGATGGGTTCCAGGCCATACACCAGAGGGATGTGTGAAGGGATAGAGTATGTGTTGAGATCAATGAAGGCTGGTGGGAAGAGAAGGGTGATTGTGCCTCCTAGCTTGGGGTTTGGAGAAAATGGAGCTGATTTGGGTTCTGAGTCCCAAACTATCCCACCTTCTTCAACTCTTGAGTACATTGTTGAGGTTGAAAGAGTGTCCATTGCACCTGCCTGATTTACCAACTTTCCTCGCAATCAATTCCACAATTTGTTTGGAAAGCTTTTGTTTTTTTATTTATGCCATAACAGTTGAAGTGTGTAGCATGAATTGCCTTTGTGTATAGGTTGAATAAAATGACCACCTGGAAACAATTTTCAATTCAAGATCTATTTTAAAGTTGATTAGTGGGTCATGGGATTTACTATTTGAAGTGTGTGACACTTATTGTCGTAGATGATTTAACTCTATTTTATTAGCATTTGTTGAATCTTATTATTAGTCATATGTGATTAAATGCTTTTTAAAGTAAATTTATTTTCTTGATACGACATACATGTAATTCATCCCTCTTAATACTTCAGTCAATTACAAATGAAATATTAGTTTTATTGATAAAATTAAAAACAGGATTTTACATATTAACTTTCTATGAGGTAGAATTTTGGTAAAGCAATGATAGCTAGCTTTCCATAATTCCATTGTAAACATACGCTTATCTTTACATATATGCAACTTTCACTAAATTGCAATAAATCAACGTTTTATTACCAAAATGGGTTGCTAAATTGTTGGTATATAAAAATCTTGGTTGTCATTTACTATTCATTAAGTCAAACCATAAATAACTTCAACTTTATGTGCTCAAACTGAAATAGAAACCAAATATATATAGAGGGTAGTTGGACGAAAGGATGTGCCCTTTATGAACACATTGTTGTTGGTATATGTTGGGGGTATTACCCAGCGAGCTAGGGGACAAAGCCCAAAAGAGTAAAGTACCAAGAGCCAGGTGGCGGCCAACCGGCTGGTGGACCACGGCCTGGGGCGCCTGTCAGGTGTCAGGAGTCTGACAGGGCGGTTAGCTGTCACATAGAGCATCAAAAGCCAGGTGGCGATCAACTGGATGGTGGACCACGGCCTGCGGGCGCCTGTCGTGTGTCAGGAGCCTGGCAGAGCTGTGGAATGCCAGTCAGGTGTCAGGAGTCTGACAGGGCGGTTAGCTGTCTGGGGGCGCAGAGCATTGAATGTGGGAGGTGACGTGGCGGAGATCAACCTCGGGTTCGGTGAGTATAAATAGGGGCAGACGATAGCATTTACGCAGGTTGGCTTCTCTCACTAAACTATTCTTCGACACTTATCTCTCTAGAAAAGGGACTGACTTAAGCTTCGGAGTGCTAACGGGTCGGCCAAGGCCCTTAGGCGCTTGTGGGTGCAGGTTCCGGGCGTCTGAGAGACGGGTAGATCGTAAAGTGGAGGATCAGCGTTCATAGGTATCTAGGCTCAAACAATTGGCGCGCCAGGAAGGGGGCGGAGGCGCACGAAGACGATAAGCGCATGGAGAACATGAACGAAGGGAACGATGGGGAAGGCAATTCCAGGTCGGGGAACTCGGATCACGATGAAGGCGAGCGTCAACTGAGTCAAGAGAGGAGTACGGAGGAGGAGGGACAAGGAAGCCCTAGGCGCCTGTCTGCTGATGATAGCGGGTCTTTGACGAAAAGAGAGCTGTTTCGAATCATAGCCGACCAAGATCGGGCCATAGCGGCGCTCAAGAGGGAATTGGAAGGAGAACGAAGTGAAGATGTGATGATGGACAGCCCAGGGGCGAGAAAGCGGGAAAGGATGGGGGAAGATTCAGAGTCTCTGCAATACGGACCGCCGCATGCCTCCGAGCAGGGGCACGACGCGTTTGGGCGCCCACGAGATGGGAGGTTGAATGTCGAGCGCGCGCAAACGGGCCCAGAGGACGTATGGGCGCCTAGGAGGATTGCTCGAAGGTTTGGTGTTCGGCAGCCCCTGGCGCGATGCATCTTAATGGAGCCAGCGGGAACTACGATCCCACCGTTGCCGAGTTATGATGGGGTGGCTGACCCGGAAGACCACCTGAATAGCTACTTCACTAAGATGCAGCTCTACAACAGCTCCGACGCCACATTGTGCAAAGTATTTCCGTCCACATTCGCGGGCGTGGTCTTGGATTGGTACCACCAAATTGAGGAGGGGCGCATAGAATGTTTCGAGCAATTTGCTGAGCTGTTTTTGTCCAAGTTCGCGAGCCGAAAGCGTCGAACATTGACCATAGGGGCGTTGTTTAAAGTCAAACAGAGGGAAGGCGAGGCGCTCAGAGAGTTCTACGATCGTTGGATCTCGGTTGCCATGGCGGTCAAAGATGTTCAACCGGCCGTGTTAGGGGTCTGCTTGGATGCCTGCACCTCAAGCGAAGAGCTATGCCGGGTCCTGTCCAAGCGAGATGTAGTATCCACCGAAGACCTTGACCGAAGAGTACAAAAGGTGATTATGTTGGAAGAAACTTTGGCGGCACGAAGGGCTGAAAAGAGGCGTCAAAGAGGTGATGAAGGTGAGGTAAGGCAGGCGCCCAGAACTGGTCCCGGAAGTTTCGTCCCACCAAGGAGGCCAGAGGCGCCACGCCCTGTGCCGAGGAGTGCTGCAAATTTTACAGAGTACAATGATACCCTCAAGAATGTGCTGCAATATGTGAAGGATAGGGGCTACCATATACGGTGGCCGGGGCCCATGCGCGGCCAACCTAACGAAAAAAATCTTGACAGATATTGTGACTTCCATCGCGACAAGGGACATCACACGGCCGATTGTTACCAACTAAAGTCCGAACTTCAAACTTTAGCTGACAAGGGCATGCTCAATGACTTTGTTAGAAGGATGGAGGACAGGACGCATCGAACCTATGTGACGAGGCAGGCGCCGGAACAGAGGAGGGCGCCTGAAGAACCCAGAGCCCAAACCGTGGTGCCGCCCACGGTCAGTAAAGCGCCCAAAGAACCAGAAACTGAGCCGGCGCCTATTATTCCACCACCTCCGTTTGAAGTGGATCAAGAGGGAGAACCTAGTCGTGTAAGGCTTACAGTTGAGTCCATAACGGGTACCCTTGACCTGAGAGAGAAGTTGGAAAGATCTAGGCGCCTGCGAGCTGCGTCGCTTGAAGCCAGGGAATCCGTACACATCCACTTTAATCAGGAACCGGATGAGGCGTGCCAAGTCCCGTCGGAAGAAGCTCTTGAGATACAGGGGGTGATAGCCGGATGTAAGGTGAAGAGAATGTTGGTGGACACAGGCAGCTCTATGGATGTCCTCTTCAAGAGCACCTTCGAACGAATGCAGCTGGCGCCTGAGTTGGTGCGCCCCTCAAATTCGGTGTTGATCGGATTCTCTGGAGCGCCTGCTCAAGTCATCGGACGCGTACGCCTTCCCGTGACTCTGGGGGACGAAACGCATTGCGTAACGCATGCAGTGGAGTTTGGCATCGTTGACTGTCCATCGCCATACAATGTGATACTTGGCCGGCCTCTATTGGCGCAATTCAATGGGGTAGCCTCGACGTGCCATCAGACGCTGAAGTTCGTCGCTCCCCAAGGCGTGGGCGTCTCGCGAGGAAGGAACGTCCCACGATATGCAAGAGAAGAGGAATCAAAAAGTCGAGGTCGGAAGCATAGACTGAATATCATATACATCCGTCCGGAGGAGGCGCCCAGGGCGGAGCCGGTAGATGACGAGATAGCTGTGATATTGGACGAGGGGCGCCCAGACCAAACGATACGAATATCATCACAGCCACAGGCGCCAGAGGCTATGAGAGCGCCCTTAATAGAATTGCTGCGGGAATTCGGAGAATTGTTTGCATGGGGCGCTCGGGATATGCCCGGAGTGTCCCCTGAAGTCGCGGCTCATAGGCTGGCAGTGGAAGAAGGTAAAAGGCCGGTGCAACAAAAGCGACGAAACTTGACCCCCGAGAAGGAAGAGGCGCTCCGGCATGAAGTTGATAGGTTGCGAGAGGCGGGGTTTGTGGAAGAGGCAAGGTACATTACGTGGCTCTCCAACGTAGTGTTTGTCCCAAAGCCGTCGGGAGATTGGAGGATGTGCGTGGACTTTACTAACCTCAACCGGGCATGCCCGACGGATGCTTACCCTATGCCACGCATCGACTTGCTGGTAGATGCAACGGCGTATCATGAAGCGCTCAGCTTCTTGGACATGTTTTCAGGCTATCATCAGATCCCTATGGTGGAGGAGGACCGGACGAAAACGGCTTTCATGACGCCTTTTGGCAACTTTTGCTATCGTGTCATGGCATTTGGTTTAAAGAATGCAGGCGCCACGTACCAACGCATGGTAAACCAAGTCTTCCGCAAGCAGATAGGGAGAAACGTGGAAGCATATGTGGATGATTTGATAGTAAAGAGCAAGAGGCGCCTAGATCATATCCTGGACCTCCGGGAAACTTTCGAGACAATGCGCAGATTCAATTTAAGGCTTAACCCCAAGAAGTGTGTGTTCTTTGCAGAGGCAGGAAAGTTCTTGGGTTTCATGATAACCAAGAGGGGGATTGAGGCCAATCCCAGGCAGGTGGAGGCCATCAAGAACTTGGCGCCCCCGAGAACGCCGAAAGAGGTGCAGGTGTTGACGGGGAGGCTGGCGGCGTTGGGGCGGTTCATTCCGCGAGCCTCGGACCGGGGTGCCCCCTTCTTCAAGGTATTGAAAAAGGCCACCAAGTTTCGATGGATAGAAGAATGCAACAAGGCGTTTGAAGAATTGAAGGGGCTACTCATAGCGCCTACGGTAATGACCGCGCCTAAAGCCAAGGAAGTGCTATACTTGTACCTAGCGGTGTCCCAAATCGCTGTGAGCGCTGTACTGATATCTAAAGACTCGCTAACAAATGAAGAGAGACCGGTGTATTACGTCAGCCGCACCATGGTTGGCCATGAGACGCGATATGCACCCATAGAGAAGGCGGCGTTGGCGGTAGTCATGGCCGCGAACAAGCTCAGACCTTATTTTCAGGCTCATAGCATCGTGGTGCTCACCAACCTGCCACTAAGGACGATTCTCGGGTCAATGGATGTGTCTGGGCGCCTGGTGAAGTGGGCCGTGCAATTAAGTGAGTTTGATATAAGTTACGCGCCCCGTCCAGCTATCAAGGCTCAAGTGTTGGCGGACTTCATGGCCGAAGGTGTGGCCGACGGAGGGCCGGGCATTGAGGAATGCTGGCAAGTGCACGTGGATGGAGCAGCAAGTCGGGCAGGCGCTGGGGCCGGTATGGTGCTCGTTAGCCCTTTAGGCGCCCTTCATGAAATTGCGCTTCGTTTTGCAACCCTCAAAACGAACAATGCGGCTGAATACGAGGCTGTTCTGGCCGGACTTCATTATGCGAGGGAGCTGGGCGCCCAAAGGGTTAATGTGAAAACTGACTCAGCGCTGGTGGTCAATCAGCTGAAT